TGAGAGCTTCATATTTGTTTAATCATTTTCAATATTCATAGAAAAGATAAGTCAAACGAGCCTTCCAAAAAAGTATTATAAAATAATATAAAAAAATTTTTTATCAATTGTGTAATGATTTTGTGATGTATCAACGTTTCCTCCTGTTGTTCCTTCCCGCTACTCCATGTTATCTAACCATCTATCTATATCATTAAGTGTGAAACTTTTACAACTAGTGCTATTATTATAAAAATTTTTAATTGTTGCTGTTTTAATTTTATCACCAAGGTCTTGGATGCATACCTCTATCCTGTTACACATTTCATCAAAGGTAAGATTTCTTGCATTCCTTTCTTGATCAAATACTTCTTTAAAGCGGGCCCAGATGGTTGAGCTAATATTTGAATATTGAATTTGACCAGATCCTGTAGAATTTGATGATCATATAGAAAATGATAATCGTATGGATGATGATGATGCTTCACTTTGTTGATCAGATCCTCTTCTACTCATGCTTTGGATAAGAGAGTATCATTGATTGATTTTATTTTGGTGTGTCATGATAGTTCTTTTGATTGTTTCGAATTAATTAATAATTTAATTAAAATTATTGTAATAGGTTTCTAGAACCTGTTTGATTTCATTATATTTCTCATACACATCATTGATCATAGTAATGATATTCTGCGTCTCTGATACGTAGTTGGCATTGCGAGAATTAATTTTTGTGGTGAGTTCATTATTGATTTCAGCTTTGATTTTGCCAATCTCTGTAGTAAGTTTTTGCACATGGTACAAAAAGAAATACATACCAAAGATCCCTATACATAGAAGAGCATGATTGGGAAATATCATTACGAGAAGGAAAAACAAAGTAGTTAATGCTATAAAAGGCATATTTTCTGAAATGTTGAATGAATGTATTTGTATGAAAAAAGAAAATCTGATTAGAAAATTAATCATGGAAAACATATAGATATTCAATTACAAGTGAAGATACCTTTATTTTTAATGAATTTGCTTTTATAAACTTTTATTAATTATATTGTTTTTTTTTAATTTTGTAGAAGTAGTTGTGTGAAAGAAAAAAATCTTTTCTTTTATAGATTAATAGCTATGTGATCAATTATTTCATATAAAGGCTTGAACTTACTAGAAAAATGTTGATTCATCATTGAAAAATAAAGTTGAGGTCCCAGATCAAAAAGTTATAAACTGGGTAACAAAGTAGAGCAATACACGATCTTATTTAGAACTTGATTTGTGTAATATAACCTAATTTTAATTAGACAATTTTAGCATTTTAACGTCATAGTTATTTTGTATCAATCATTAACAAATTTATTTTATTTTATTAACAAGTCATTTGCAGATCATTTCTTTCATTGTAGAGAATTCTGTAATAACTTCGATATATAGGCCAATTACATATTCTATATTTCAAGAATCCAATGTTGAGTAAATACTGGAAAATTCGAGTGAAAGAAAATATGATAAAGACCTATTATGGGAATTATTTATCTGAAACAATATTCATTTTGCTGTGATTAGTCTGTATACAATTAATTTTGATCAGCTAATATCATGTTTACCATAATTAACTCTGCATCCATGTTATTTTAAACACATGCTTCGATCAAGGGCAATAGAAATATGCTATATAATAAGTAAAAAAATCAGATTATCTATATTGCACTTTATATAACAATTAAAAAATTTACTTACTTTAAGATCAGATATGTTAATATGTATCAGATACACTAGCTCCACTATAAAGCCTAATAATTAGGTGTCACTAGCTTGGCACTATATATAATTTTCAAGTTTATTGGTATTTTGATAATACCGATCTTGAGCATATTTCATAAATAGTCCATCAACTTGATAAAGCCATATAATTACTACATACTAAATTACTTTAACTAAATTTATTCATTTTTGCATTTGCATTTGTGTTATCCTATACATTCAATAACTGTAACTTCAATGCACTCTCCCAAATATATTTTGAATAAAAGCAAGTGGTAGTAATAAATAATTCAGTATAAGATATCAAGATAATTAATCAAAAAAATTTTATGTCCCATATTATGCTTACATAATTGCTAATGCTCTGGTCTCATTGAGTGAATCAGACTTAATGATTCTAATTGCATTCAAGACAGACAAGATGTATATTTCCTTCAATATAACCTAATTTATTATCAATTTAATCCACTGTCTATTGATCAGGATTTTCAGCTTCATCTCATTCCTACAACATTTCATTGAGGCATAATTCATATTTATTTTTTTGTAAATCTTTTAATACAAGGATATAATCAACAGATAAGTTAAATTCATAACCTTTTTTCTTATCTTAATCTATATATCCTATAGAAATAAATAGTCTCAATGAATGTTCGATAGCTTTCTTATTTTTTGCATCTTCAATCTCAGGAGGTAATGAGGGACCTTCAATCCGAATAAGTTGGCTCAAATATTTTACACGACCAACTGTGAGATAAATTAGATTATCTCATGTTAAATTTTTATCGATAACCCAAATGTGTTGTGAAGCTTTGAGTGTCATTCCCTGACTGGTATAAATGGTCATTGCATATCCAAGTTCCCAATCTATAGCCTTTTCTTTTCCTAACATGCCTTGTAAGAATTTATCAGAAAGTGTATTTAAGAGTAAGTGTATTATATCATTTTTTACTAGCTTCTTTTTTTCAGATAAGCCAGGAATCAGAACAAGGCAATTTTGTTTATGCTCATCTTTTGGCCTATAAATTAATGGGATTAGAATTTCAGGATATTTTGTACAATGAAGTTTTCGAGAAAGTCAATATGCTGATAGAATTTGATCTAAGAGAGACTATTTCTTTTCAAGATATTTTTATTTTTTTATAACTGGAATTGCTCTACAAAATAATTCTGATTGTACTTGATTATTTTTACAACACATTTCCTTTTTGAGTTCACATAATTTAGAACATTTGGCCCAATAGTTAGTCAAGACTTTCTCATAGTAATCAGCTTATTTTTTTAACCAACTATGGGGCATTTCTCCAAAGAATAGTGGAGGCTGGGCATCATTACCACAACAAATTACCTGACATTTTTGCTCTAGTAAGTAATTGATAAACTTTTCTAAAATGTGTTTAGACACTGTACATACTTCATCCTATATAACAACTTGTGGAAATTTTTTTTCTCCCATACATTCAGGAGCCCACTCTTCTATACCATTCCATCTAAAGAAACTATACCAAGTTTGGGCTTTTATCTTATGGTCATTTTGGAAGTCTTTGGCTAATGCATTTATATGAGTGAAAACAACCATGTTTATGTCTTTAAAAATTTTGATAGCTCGTGTCATTTTACCAGATTCACCTCCTCCATTGAGATATGAATTTCGATATTGTGTAATAGAATTATGAATTAATGGAGCCGTACTATCTGAAATATCTTTGATCGATTCCCAATGCCTATTCTTTGGCCAGTATACAATATCAGCAACTAGTTCATATATTTTTTTACCCTTATTATGCTATTGACCAGGTTAAATGTCTTGAACTTCTTGTTCTTCTTGCCGATTTAACTGCTTCTGACAAGAATCTGATTTATAAAACTATTCTCCAAAGCAAAATCTGCAAACAAATAAAGTATGCCTTTTACATTCATATTTTACTAGAGGCTTTTTTGTTTTTAGAAACTCTTTAATCCATTTTGTATATTCTAATTTTGAAATAAGAAATTCTTTTGGATCGCTACACATTGCACAAGAAAGATAGTGTAAATATAAATTTGGAAAATTGGAGATTTGATGCTTTGCACCATCAACTTTACCTCAACTTGCTTGAAGAATGCTGGTATATTTTCGATCTTATATAAAGCCTCTTTTTGTATATATATAGAATCTGTAGCAATTCTTACTACTTTATTAGAATCGAATCTCTGAAGATTTATAACAAATTGATATGTGCATATGCTAATATTGAAGCCCGCAAATGTGTGTACTAAGGCTGATGACCCTTAAAATATATAAGTATAAATCCAAGTAGCATCTTTCTCTTCCAGCAAAAGTTCTAGTATCTGTACAATCTTTTATTAAGAAATCAAGTTCACCTTCATCTATTACAAGATGATGGGTAAGTCATTTTTTTTTATTTTTTCTGCCCTGTATAAACTTACCTATAATTGCATAACTAACATTTCGATTTTTTGGTAACTATACTTTAGTCTGCCATATAAGAGAGATAATTGCTTCCCCAATAGTTAAGTCTTCTAAAATACTGATTTCAAGAAGATATTGTAACAATACTATTGGAGCCCATCCTTTATTTTTTATGCATCCTTCTCCACTACAACATGCAAAATGTTTTTCATACCAAACTGGGATTACTGGATGTATGTTAGAAGTAAACTTAAAGTAATTTACTTGTGCAAATTCAGTAATACTATCTGGGGGCAATTTTTTATTTACTGCAACTCAGACAAGATGATATGTTGGATGCCCAAATCGATTAAACCATAGTGCACATTCTTTTTAGCCTTGCATACTTGCTAGATAGCATTCTTTCATATCAATACATATGACATTATTAATGTGATAACTGGGTGCATTCTAGCATCTACCATGCCCATGCTCGACACAAGCTTGTCTTATAATGTTATTTATTTTTCCAGATATTGGATGCTATTTATTGATTTCATTGGCAAGTTAGCTTCCAGCATGGTTTGCACCAAAAACCTGTTCTACTAAGTCAACCACTTTGAGAGACTCTAAAAAAATCGATTTCTTTTCCTCATTGATTATTCCTTTTTGAAATTGCCAATCTATTGTATTATTAACTAATTGTTTGCATACTTCTATAATTTCTATATGCTTTTTTCATATTCTAAATATATGACCATCTTCTATAACAAACTGGGATATTGTTTGGGTTTTATCTCCTACTCCCATAAGCCAGATTGCTTGAGGACCTTGAAGAGTATTGTTAATGGCTTTCTAAGTATCTTTCTTATAATATTCGACCATTCAGTCTCTTAGAAAATGCTAGATTTGAGGGAATGCATGGCCATTATAAACTACTATCTCTATTTCTTCATACTTGCCTAATTAATATTTTTTGCTATTAAAGATAGTACTATGAGTGATATCTAGTAATGTAATTGGTTGCTTGAGAATTTTTTCTAACTTTGCTACATCTTGTACTCAAGCACCTGGAATGTGCATTTTTTTCACCCAATCATTTATTTTTTGCTAACGAATTTCTGTGAGTCCATGTCTCCTTTTAGCTTGATCAAAATACTCTATTACTCATTCAGCTACACAATTAAATGCTCCAACTTTCATAGACATTAATTGATTGATGTCTGGTTTTCAGATTCAATATAATCCATAGACTACTACATTACTATCAAGTCTTTCTATATCAGATTGTACACTAACTTCTCTAACCAGAAATTTTTCGTCTATTTCTAACCAAAAGTCCGGTTTCATTTTTTTTGTAAGTATAAACATTTGGACCACCTCGGACATATTTATCACTTGCTTTTTTTGATTCATAAATAGGCTTATATTTGTCAATAATTTTAAAGCCTTTTTTTGTTTTTTCAACTGATATTACTATATCATCTCAAATGAATTTTACTCTTATTAAATACTCATAATTATCAATTGTATTTAATATTCTTTGTGCTCGCTTTTCAGTCATTCCGGCCTCAAAATTTAGCTTTTCAATTTCTATAAACCAAGTTGAGAATATATATTCAGCTCCATCTACTTTAAATATATCTTTTGTATACTGAATGCCATTTTGCCATACTTTATGATGCTCTTTATTATCTGGAAATGAAACTGGCCAAGGCTAGGGTGTCTGGCATGCCAAAAAAATTTGGCATGCTACATGGCATGCCTTTTGTTAAAATTTGTGCCATGGCATGCCTTTGGCATGCTACAAAATTATTATTATTTATAATACTGTATATATAATATGTATCTATATTTTGATATTATAAATATAATTTTTTATACTACACCCAGTGGCATGCCGAATTTGTTTTAGGCATGCCAGTGGCATGCCACTATGGCATGCCACCATTGGCATGCCCTTGCCACTATGCCAAACACCCTACTTCAGATGGGTTTTCTGGATCAATGGTGTGTGTAGCAGATATAGAGATTTTAAAAAGTGTGTCAGAAACTGATTAAAGAAGTGATATGTATTGTGACATGATGTTGAAGGCTCCAGAGGAGCTGTTATCACTAGAAAGTATATTTTTGCTACTCAAACATTTGTGTGCTATATTTGTTGTATTGTTATTATACTATAGTAGCTTTTGCTTATACTTGAGTAACTTTATTTATTGATAGGATTATTTAACAGGCTTTGTTATCTATACTTTTGTTTACTTTTCTAATTAGTTTTAATTTTTGCTATAATTTTCAGAGGAACAGAAAAAAGTTTTTATTAACTATATTTTTAATAATTATAAGCAATAATTTAGTAAATAAATTAGCTTTATATATATTTTTGTTAGCTATCTATATATCTATATCTAAAGTTAAATCTTCAGTAGTGTATTTCAATACCTTATATAATCAGATTATGTAACATAGATAAATTTATAGTATGACCAGATATGCATAATTTGTAGAATTAATTAAAAGTCTAATTTGTATAATAATAATATAATAATTAATAATATATATGGGTTGTAATTTTTTAGTGAAATTAACTAGAAAAAAGAATTTTGGCTTTTAAAAAACTCTTTAGTTAAGAAACTATATATTATATATTCTTTACTCTGGTAGTAGTACCTGTACAATATACTAATAAAAAGAAAAGAAAGTAAAAAAAAACTATAAATTAGAGCAAACATATAAGTAGTTGTTAAACTACCTAACACAAGTTAGAGAGCTTCTAGAAATTAGCTAATTTTTGGGTGGGTGGGTAGGTGGGTTAGCCAAAATATCAGGTATAATTTTGGCCAAATTTATTAAATTCTAGCCAAAATTAAAATAATTTTTTAGTCCAAATTATTATTAAAATAGTTTAATAATCAATAACTTTTGACTTAGTGGGCCAATTCGAATAATTTAACTGCCAAAATAATTCTCTCAGAGTGAGGATTCTAACAAGCCTAAAAGCACAAAAATCTAATTACTAGATTCTGAGATCGATTTATATTTGTGTATTATTATATATAGTATACTATATAATATACACAGTATAAAAATATACAAATCTAGATCGATCTCAGTATCTAGTAATTATATTTTTATGATTTTTGACTTGTTAGAATCCTCTTTTTGAAAGGATTATTTTGGTAGTTAAATCATTTAAATTTGTCTAGTAAATCAGAAATTATTTAATATAAGATTTAAAATTTAAAATCAAATAACTTCTAATTTATTGGGCCAATTTGAATGATTTAACTACCAAAATAATCCTTTCAAAGAGAGGATTCTAACAAGCCCAAAATTATAAAAATCTAATCACTAGATACTGAGATCGATCTAGATTTGTATATTATTATACTTATATACTATATGTACTATATATAATATACTATACATAATAATACACAAATATAGATTGATCTTGGGATCTAGTAATCAGATTTTTTATTATTTTGGGCTTGTTAGAATCTTTTCTTGGAGAAGATCATTTTGGTAGTTAAATTATTTAAATTGGCCTAGTAAATCAGAAGTTATTTAATATTAAATTTTAAAATTTAATATTAAATAACTTCTAATTTATTGTGCCAATTTGAATGATTTAATTACCAAAATTATTATTTCAAAGAGAGGATTCTAACAAGTTCAAAATCATAAAAAACTGATTACTAGGTACTGAGATTAATCTAGATTTATATATTATTATATTGTATATAATATATTAATATACAGTACTATATATTAGCTTATCATCAAGTATTAATCAACTCTTTCTGACGATCCCTCGTACCAAAATCAAAACAAACCTTTTTTTCAAAAAACAGTAAACTATGAAAGCAAAGAGTGGCAGAAGACTGATAAAAACTATAAACCGGCAC